CATCGAGACGTTTCGCGGCGGAAAGGTCGACGCTGCGGCCTTGACTTTTGGGGCGGTCCGCGGAAGCGCGTGCCTTTCCTCGTGCGACAAACTCTTCCCCCTTTTGCGGTGCGCGCAGAGAGGTGGGAGAGGGAGCCGTGGCACTCTGCGCCTCCACCCCTCACCACCTCGTTCGGTGGCTCTATAGTGGCGAACTGAAGAACGGGCAGCGAACGCTGCGGAATGTGGCGGAACCACGGCCAATATTTCGACACTACTACGAAGGCCGGCGGCGGCGGGGCGATAAAGCGATTCTGGAACGCAGTTACCGCATTTCCCACCTTCCCATCTCTCTCTCAGTCCCGGCGGCTGCCGCTACTGTTCGACGCTGTGTGTGCGGAGAGAGGCAGCCGCCGATTTCCGTCCCGTCGTCGGAAACGCTGCGCCATCTGTCGAACCCCAAGTGAATCATCCGCCAGTCTACACGCTCCGAGCATCCGAGCGCGGTCGATTTGAGCGGGGCCGTTGGCCCGTCCTTTCCGAATGCTTCTTGTAGTCCCTGCGTTTGGAACCGGCTGTGCTTTAGCAGCCGGTTCTTCGTCGAGCAGAAGCAACATAGCACCGTTGCAGACCGAATCCATTCCGCTTTTACGTCGCGTCTCTCTCTACTATTCGGACCACACGCCCCACTAATCAACCAACTACCGTAGGAACAAAAGTGCCGTTCGTATAACGTGACTGATTTGCCATTTCCTGCCTTGCCGCGGTGATGCATCGCAGTGTACGCCGCTGTGTGGCAACGACAAGGTTGCGCTGCTCCATCTGCTCGTTAACCGGCGCAGACTATCAGCTGTTCATTTGGAACAGGTTGCGCGATGGAGAGGATTGCCGGGCTGGCATGCGTGCATTGCCTCCCCTTGGGCAGGGAAGCCGTCCAGCGGCGGGTGGTGGCCACACCTCGGCCGCGCTGCATTCCGGAGGCGTCATCGCTATCGCGGGCTCCGATTAATCGTGCTTCTCCGGCAAAGCGCGGCCAGCCTTCTCGGCCTCCGGTTGCACTTTGCGCGGCAACGTCTTCCAGGAAGTGGGAACCTGCACGACGGCTTCTATGCTGTACCACCACGGACTGGTAGCCCGAAGTATTCGCTTACGTAAACAAGGGCGTGGGAGGAGGGAGCTTTTAACCACACAGCCGCGCGAGTGCTCCGTCGCCTGCTTTGGGAGGCGCGTCCCTCTACATACGCTTGTTTTTGCCTGGGACTGGAAGACGATTCAGTGTGCTGGGATAACTGCCCCCCTTCCCTCTCCTGTACATGGCCGTATGTGTAAGACTTCGCAGGCGTAGTGACGTTTCGCTTCGCCCCTGCTTTGCTACTTTCGTTTCAGCCACCGCTGTGAAGTCTCTCGGAAAGCTGCGGTATTTGCGCTTGTCTCTACATTATCCTAATCGCGACTCCGTTTTATTCGAGAGCACGCTGTCCAAAAAAAAAAAAAGGCGTGCTTCGCAAGAAAATCCTTCGAAGCGTTGACACTCCGTAGTCGCGTGGCGTGCTGGCACTTTCCACGCGGACGAGTTCAAGCGAGCGTGGCTAAAGACGTTCCGAATACGAAGTGCGCTGCATTGCCGCCAGTGTGTGCTCCTTCCATGGATGCGAGCAACCGCTTCCGTAAAAAAAAAAATGTTCTACAGGCTCATTACTGATTGCTGTCCAGGAGGAGAAGCATATTAGACTTCGTGTAACGCGAACTTGTTTTTTCGCGGTTCGCTGCGTAACGCCTCTCGCTTAGCCCTCCACCCCCATTCCTCGTTCTCGTTAATTTGAGCGTCGGCGGCGCGCGCAGTTGACCGTGCATACACGTGTTCACCCGAGCAGCTGCACTGTACGGGCGGGCAATTGTCGCTCACCACGGGTCTCGCAAAGGCGGCAGCGGGATCTCGATGGGGTGGGGACCGATTTGGTTCTCGCCGCATAAGCGCGCCCTTCGCGCAGACAGCTGAAGATTCATTTTCTTCCTTCTGCTCGTCTTTGCCAAGCTCGGGCGGTTTTGTTTCGAAAGAGGCTCGTTACGAAGTGGCGCGCTTGAGCGTCTTGCACCGGGAAAGCAGCAGTTCGGCTCAGCATACTCCTGTTTTGTATGCGCTATCGAAAAAAAAAAGCGGGGGGGGGGCTGGAGGGGGCGTGGAATAACGCTCTCGAATTGCGGCTTCTCTCCTTGCAGTTGCGCTTCAGGGAAGCCTTGAGCTAGTAGGCTGTCAGCTGCAGCGCAACACTGGAGTCCTATTTGCTTATGTGGATCCCGTTTGTCGCTCCATTTTTCCTTTATTGTTATCTTTAATTGAACCGTTCGAAGGCGCTCCGGAAGCCGTACACTGTGAACCTATCAGCCAAACGCGAGCAGGTGCGCTGTTTGTTGTGGACGTTGGCCTCGCTGACCAATCGGCCGAGTCTCGCGCGAATGAATGAGCGGGCAGCGGTGAAAATAAAGAAAGGAAACGGGTGTCTTTATCTGCTCGACACACAAATTCTGGCCGTGCGCGTCGAAAGCTTCGAGTTACATTTCTTCCGCGGGCGGCGTGTTTTACTCGGGCAGCAAAGGCGTGCACGGCGGCCTCTCTGGCACGTCGACGGCATGGGCGAAGAAAGGAAGTTGCGATCGACCGGTGCTACCCGAAATAGGGCACACGGCGAAATCCCTGGGAGACGCGAAGTGCCAGGCAGAGTGCGTGCTTGTGGACCCATGCACCTAGTAGCGCAGTCTGCTCCTGCATATACACGGGATTTTGCTGTGGTGGCAGTGCGGCCAAGACACTGCACGATTACCACAAGCATAGGCCGACATAGGCGGGCGCACGAGGGGGGGGGGGGGGGGGGGAGTCTTTTAAAAAGAAGGGAACGCAAAGTCTGTCCTATACAGCGATTTTTAAGGAGGGGGATGCTGCAATGAAATTTTCCCCTCCCTCCTTGTGCGTACAAGGGGGCAACCCCGCATAATCATTAACCCTGTCCCACTACTTTACGCAGTCGGACCTGCCCTGTCGCTGTTTATAAACTTCAGGATTGTGGCGATGAAAGCTTTGTTTTCTTCTTTCACTATAATGCCGACTCTGCACACCTGATGTTGCATTGATTGCTAGAACTGTCTGTTTACCTCCGCGAGCGAGCAGGGAAACAAGTGCAAACCGTTGTGAGAAAGCATGTTGTCGCGTTGTCGCTCGCTTTTAATAAGGGCGAAGCTCCTTGGTATCTGGTCTTGATATAGAACCCTCGCTATAGCTGAAACACGTGACACACACACATGGGTTTTACAATAGACCTCAGCGTAGACATAGACTAATTATGAGGTAAAGGATCACTGTTCCCGGCAAAAGTAGCCTATAAACAAGAGTGTTTTTTAGTTGATCTCTACTCAAACGTGCCTAGATGTTGAGGCTTCTCAAGGAAATTAGTAACACGAAGGCCTACATCGAGCGCTCGTGTGTCCCAACAAGTTACCCTTATTAAAATGGTATCTTGCCACCGGTAAGATGGCGCGTCCTTTGAGCCACTTTCGATGCGTAATTCTCTAAATCCACATTTACTTGCCTAAGACGAGCGGAACGTGAAATAAATGTACATATTTATATACACCTTACGTTAAGATGCGGGGCTAAGCTCGGGTAACGTACGGTTACTGACCAATACGATACCCATAGCTTCGCCCACTCGTCACGATTCACTTCGTGGAGGTGGGTGTGGGTATCCATTGCAAAGCAAAGTTTGTTCTTTTGGGAACCGACTTATTCGGATCTTATGGGGCCTGAGCGCCTTCGCTATGCCGAAAAGGTGGAAATGTGCGATAGCATCGACCCTCTTCACGCTGTGACCGGGCTCTTCTAGCGACGTGAACATATTTTCGGACATTTGTTGCGGAGACATCGACAGTTATCTTGTTTTCTCCGGTAATCACTTTAATCTCAAAGAAATGAAGGCGTTCCAGTCGACTGTGGTGCATAATTATTTTACGAGCTGTTTGTCACGGGTCTGTCCGAAAATACGCCCCAAGACATGTCAAGCTAGCTCTTTATTTCTTTTTTTCGGGGGGCGGGGGGGGGGGTCATTTAGTGGCGCGATATGAAATTATTTCTCTGCCTTTTTTTGTTTATCATTTACCGCCTTCTATACTGCGGCCTGCAGTTACCGAAATATATGACGATCGTGGCTCGCCATGCCAGCAGACGCAAGCGGGCCGCTCCGAGCTGAGCAGGCGCGTCTCTCAGCTGTTGACGGCATCCGCCTCCGAATCGAGGCATCCGGTCGACGACTCCCACGCCCCACTTCCGTTCGACGCCGCCGTCGACACCTCGTTCGAACCGCGAGCTCTCGGGAGGGGGAGAGGGACTGAGAGCCCTCTCTAGGACACTCCCAGACGCATACGGAGTCGCGCTAATATATATAAATACACACATTGAGAGGGTAAAGGCCAAGCCCCAGCACCAGACAGGCGTCCACACAGAGTTATTCAGTTATACCAGTTGCAAAACTGCGTTCCGAAACCAGGACACGCAATTGGCCGTATTTTGGGGCATTTAGTAGACTGTTGCGACATCTGGGAGCAATTACACAAATAACACGTTTAATAGTGGATGTCCTGATCAACAGGTGGCGCGACAATCGGCTCACTACCGACATCTCGGCCGATGATGTGTTCGAGTTTCGATACACGGAGCCTATGGGGGGAGTTTCACGACTCATTTGATTGAATAACCCTGGGGTCCAGCAACTTTTCTGTGAACCAGCCTCGCACAACTTAGTGGAAGATGCGCTAATTTTTTTATGCTTATCACTTGATCTGCACATGCACCAATCGAGATGAAAAAACAACAAAAAAAGCAGCTACAACTTTACGTGTCTAAAGCCATCGGATTTGTACCACCACGCATTGCTGCATGTAACCAGAAATGGCTTTTCTCTAGTATGAGTGCACGTACACCAACGCGATTCTTTAACACTTCTTTCCCCCTTTGTCTTGTGTCTGCGCAGGCTGCGATATTGCAGCACACAGCTGAGTACATCTACCAGCTGGAGCAGGAGAAGACACGCCTGCTGTCGCAGAACAGCCAACTGAAGCGCCTCCTCAACTGCCAGATGAGCCAAGACAGTGATGGTTCTTCTTCAGATTCGCCCCTGCCCAAGCGCAAGAAAGGCGACCACTGTAAGCACAGTTTAACAAAACTTGACATTCCGTGAGGTAGTGCATAGCTTTTCGGGAAAATTAGAACACAAGATGAGGCACTCACAAGAACGTAAGGCGGGTGCTGTCCTTAGTGCCCGTCCACTCTTTTCCACATGCTTTTCCTCTTTAAATTTTCCCAAAAGTAAGCACTGCAGCACTTCCTCATTTTTCTGCTTTTTTTGCCCCTTCTCTATATTGATAGATGAAAGCATTGTCATTGTTGCTGCGAGACTACTGGGAGATGCATTCAGAAAGTTCATAATGAGTTCGCCATATTCGAGAGCCACTTGATCGTTAAGTACTACAACACATTTAACATCGCTGGCCGATTTTAGCTCTTCATGCTCCATGCTGCGAAATAACGGTCTAGCTTTTGAATACAAGCAGTTACCTTAGCTTGTGGGCAGTGTGCAGTTTGGCTCAGGCTGGTCTGAGTCGCATCTATTTTAGGCACTTCACTCAGCTTAATGTTAGTGTCATTTTTGAAAATTCTCAGCACAATGTGTAACTAGGTCATTTGTCAAAGTTTTGTGTGGAGGATGAATACATATAGCCTTATAGAGATATATTTACAAACAGATAAACTGCCCTAATTAAGAAAGCAATTAGCTATCACTGCCTCAAATCATCTTAAGCAGGACTGACCCAAGTGTCTTCTTCATGGCACTGGCCTGTGACAATGTTTTGAAGCATCGTTGATGTGCAGATTGTGCCATTAAAGACTAAAAATCGTTTGAATTTAGTGCAGTGATAAGTGGCAGTATTTCTTGAAGAAACCACTCGCTGCTACTTGGCTGAAAGCTTTCATATCTGGGCTATTGTTGCATGGTCGTCTTTTAATAGCCAAAAATGAACAACACTCAATGACTAAAAGCATGTATGATGCATATTCTTTGACGTATTGTAATTTCCTCTACTCGTTTCACTTTGAGCCACCCAGTCTTAACTGTGATCATTTCCTCGCATGTTTTTTGTTGTTGCAGTGGATGATGAGGGAATCGCTGGAATGAGCCCACAGGACACTGACACAAAGGAAGACGTTCTGCGTGAGCTTGTTGACCTCAGAGGGCAGCTTGATCGGGAGAGAAGGCTGCGAATGATCCTAGAGGACCAGGCACGTGGAATGGAATCGCAGGCTTACGCTGAACGGATCAGAGAGGCACCTGCTGTGGCACCTCATCTCAAGGTCAAAACAGAGGTGATTGCTTATCTGTTGCTTGTACAGTGTTACTATCAGACTAAGTGTGAGCTCCAGCTTTATGTGGCTGTGTGATTAGTGGCAATCAAGATGGTATATAATACAAATTCTCACACACGTGATTGCAGTGTAAATGTTCTTTACTGTCCTTTGTTACATTATTGACACTTGAGGGACTTTGCATGTTTTGATGCTGCATTTCATTAGGTAAGTTTTAAGGAAAACACCATGATGTTCCTGTGGAAGAATAAGAATGTTGTGGATGATACTCTAATTTCTGCCTATTCGAACATGTCAGAAAGTTGTGCAGTGCTTCTGCTTACTGTTTTCTCTTACTTTTTGCCACACCAGTCTTCATTGCCTTATTGCTAACGTGATGCCAGCCACTGTTTGTAATGCAGCTGCACGATCTTGAACAACTATGCCTTTGCTCTTTCTTGAGTACTTCTCTCATGAGTGTCTTGACTTTTCATAGCATCTGTGTCAGCATCTCGATTTGCACCAGATGAATCTTTTGAATGTCTGCTCGCGAAAGGGTCAGAACTAAAATTTTTTGCCTCTCCTTTTTGAACTTTTCAGGATGTCGCTGACACAACACCAACCGCTTTGGTGGTGGCCCAGCCTACTCCCGAATTAGTGGCGCCGCAGTTCTCTTCAGCACCGGCGCCTGTCACCTTACCAGCAGGTGGTGCCAGCCCGCCGAGAGCACACCCACAGCCGGCAGAGCCTCTGCCCAGCCCCACAGCCGATCTGCCCCAGGATCTGAGCACGCACTCCATGCAGCCCGCAGCACCTGCTGCAGGTACTGTGGCGCCCACCGTGGCTGTTCGGGAGGAGGCCGTTGCGCCGCCGCTTCAGTCCTCTCCGTGCACGTCACCATACCATGCCAGCACGTCCCGCCAAAACTTGGAAACCATCGTGGAGGCCATTCGGCACCTCGAGGGGGACCACCTGTTCCGTGATGATGAGCCCCACAGCGCTGCGCCCGAGCGAATGAGCCCCCCCGGCGGCGACAGCGGCATGCTGCGCAGCAGTTTGAATGTGCTGGTGGTTCACGAGCCTGCGCTGCGTCAGCAAGTGATCCAGTGCGGCACGGCGACGCGTCGGCCCGGGGTCATTGTGGCGAACCACTCTTAACGGCTGTCTCTCCATGGAGGCCATTTTCTCCCAGGGTGGGGGGAGCCCGGTTCACCCTCTCTCGCTCTTCTGCGCTACTGCTTGGCCGCAACAAAAATACAAATCTGGAGTGTACACGCCCACACATAAAACAAGAGGGCCACCGGTGGAGACATACACGTATACAAGTACATACACGCGGAACAGGGACACACATATACGTATACCTACACCACAGCATTTTCAAGTGTTTGACACTGCGTGGGAAGGGTAAGGGGACATGCCGAGACACTTCTGAGAAAGTGCATTCCAGGTTACGGGGACAAAAACTCTTGAAACTTTTGTCAGGCGATGCTCTCACTGCCTCCTGGTTCATTTTGCATAGCTTAAATGCCATTTTACACAACTCGTTCTTGTGCTATCTCTAGACCGAAGCAGCAGCAAGGTTTTGTGTGTGCGTTCTGTTTACCCTTCTTTACTCCCCATTCTTCTAATGAAACATGCCAAAAGAGCTGTTTACAGTAGTGTAGTGGCTATTAGTAAATGTGGTCATGTTATTGTGCCAGAGTTTTCAAGTTAGCTCGCTACCTTGACAAGCAGAATTTTGATTTCCCCTGCAGCGTTTGTTCTCATTGCACCAATTCTGGTTCGTTTTGCCGTCATTCTTCAGTGGGATAAGCCTGGTATGTTAGTGTGCAACTCTCGTTCAACATTCGAAAGCGTTTTGTCGGCTAACATGAGTGGTGTACATACATTTGTATGGATGCTTTCTTTTGTTGTTGTGTTTGTTCAATTCTGCATTGATTGACCCCGCAAAAGCTTTGCCAGGGTCCTTCAGCTTGTGGCATTGACCAAATGGGCCATAGTGCACTGTCGTTGGCTTCTATAGTGCAAACTGCACCAGTGCATACTTGGACACACATTGTGATTCGTGAACTGATGAAAGTAGGAGGTGGGGGAGAAAAAGGGGGGTTGAACACAGTAATGTAAAGGCGACGGAGAATGGCGATAGCAGAAGCACAGCGGAATGGTGGATCTTGCTTCCGTTTAGTCTGTAATATACGGGGTGGGGAAAGATTTTCGGGGGCTGTACAGTGTAAGAAAACAAATCGTGAAAGTCTAGTGCAATGGTCTGTGGGTGGTTCCTTTGGGAAGAGAGAGAGAGAAGGAGGCGTTTAAATTTTTTAACACAAAGCAGTTTTTTGCTCTATACAAGGAAACTATACATGTATATGTATAAATATATATTATACGGCGCACTTATCTGTACACATCAGATCATGCAAGCTGGCTGGAGGCATGCCTCACTCATTGTCTCATAGGGTTGAAAAAAAAAAAAGGCAGTTACTTGTCTGGCAACGTTTATTGTTGAGTTTTTCTTCCTGTCTGCATCGGCACACTGATTTGATTTTGTGTGTCAAGTGTTCATATGTTCATGACAGCGGCAGAGCAAAAACATTCTAGCGATTGCGTTGTTCCTCTGTGCCCCTTCCTCCCGTGACATATTCATGGTTCGCACTGTGCATAGTTCATACTTTAACCTCTTCCAAGGATATTAGAGGTCAGTGTGTGTTCATTCTTCTCTTAGAAAACTTCACGATCGAAATGCGTTCGTGAGGAGCTATCTTTGTAGTGGTGTGCGTGTGCCATCCGCCGTTATATTTATGACGTCATATACATCCTTTTCTCTTTTTTTTTTCCAAATTCATTTCAGGTACACATGTGGCTGTTGTTAAACCTAGTCCTCCCCTCATTTTCTTTTAATCTTTCTCCCCATGTACGAATCTCGGCAGATGCTCATCTCTGTGAGGTAGCATTCATCTGGCATTGAGCTCCATTTCTTGACGCATTTGCATTCATTGTCACAAACACGTGCCACCAACATGAACACAACAGTCACACGCGGACACACCCATCTGAACGACATTAGACACTGTCTGGACACCTCCATTTGGTGGGGATGGCCGCTGTGAGAGAGCCTGTGAATTTTACGGGTAATGCATTTCTTTCCGCTCTTCTTTTGTTTGTTCTTCTCGTTTGCCCTTGCCTCGAAGCTGAGATTTTTTACCTCAATGCAAATCTAGAGGCAGCAGTGGCTACTTTTGTAGAGTGTTAAAACTTGATCGGAGGAAAACAGCATTGTGTTCTTATTAGTGTGTCATATTCGTGCTTACTTCGAAATATTTTCTTTTTTTTTTTCGTTTTCATCTTTCCGAGTTTTCGTAGTTGCAGTGGCCCAGCAACAGTTTGTGCAGTCTTGTGTTCCGAGGTTCATTATTTCCACTTGCGGCATTAAGCGCTTGCATAAGCTTTATCCTTTGGCATGCATTTTATTTTATTTTATTGAGTGAAAGTTTGTTTCCTTTATGCATGTGTGAATGTGTAGATGTGAGAGAGAGAGAGAGTTATAACCAGGTGGGTATAACATTCACAACATTCACTCATGTCACAGATGTGTACACCCATCCTAATTTATATCTCATGTCAACCGCTGCCACACAACACACGGCCACTGCTTGCCGAAGCTAGTGTCGTCGTCGGTTGGTGTTAGGTCGGCGAAACGCCGGATTCCTCTGTGCATTGTTCATTATTACCACACATAGGAAACATTTGCAGCATCTAAGTTGAGGTGGCGAGAAAGTGGGAGTTTTTTATACGAGAGGGTCGAGGGCAACGTCCTTTAAAAAAAAAAGATTTGTATACGCATTTCTTTTTTTCCCCTCTCTTTCCGTGAGTCTCTAGGACCACCCTGTTTTAATTCAATGCCAGGTTAATGAGAGAGCTGTAGCCGCCATGCCAAGTGTTTGTTACGACGAATTCCACCTCTCATATTGGAGGAGCCACTTTGTTAAGCTCGTAACTAGCAGACCCATAACGGACGGTGAAAACGCATGACTGTCGTCAATCGATGGTTGCCGAAGATGTGTGCAGCGGCGCATCACTCTGCGAAACTTCCAGGTACTGCCCCGTTGTTGGCGCAACAGCAAGGGATCTTTTGCAGTGCTCATTATAAACGACTTGACAAAATTTCAAACCATCTTTGATTCGTCCTATGGAATTATAACATCTTTTATCGGCTGCAGAGCAGAAAGAAGAACAGCTTCTCCTATTGACCAGTGGAATTCGTCCTAAGTCTACACCTGCTCTTCTCTCCGCTCGTGTTGTTGCTTGGGTCTTCTGTCTAAGCTTTTTTTTTCCGTGCCCCCCTCTTATTCGCCATCTTTTCCATCCATTGTAAATTCATAGTTGACATTTATTTTTCGAAGTGCTTGTTTTATCAGATATATGTGTTTTTTGTACCGTCATTTTTCTTTTTACTTTTGTGTTAAGGCATTGGAATTGAGAACCATTTGTACATATGTTCACCGGCTCTCGTTTTGACTTCCCTTTTGTTGGTTGTTTGCCTGCCTGTCCCATTTGCCGTCTTTTGTATATCTTTGTATGGGTGCATGTGTTACTTTTCACGTGTGCTAGATGAGCTATTGCTGTGAGTTTCCGTGGGAGGGCCCCATTGTCGCGAATTTGGTTACTGTACCTTATGAATTGTGTGAAAAATGTTAAATGCAATTTTTATGGTTCACCTCTGTTTGATAATATATCGGCTTTATCGTGAAGTTCATAACTTGTGTTCATAAAAGGCCAACGTCCAACATTGAGCTGTGCATGTAGATTCTTTTTTCTTACGCCATCCATGTGTGAAAAAAAAAATTGTGAAACTTCTCATTATAAATTATTTTCTTCATTGTGTTTCTTTTATGCTTCATTGATCAGTGGAAGTGTTGAGAAAAAGTTTACAAAAGCTTGTGTTCAGCTACGTTGGGTCGGCAACAGTCTGGGCCCCAACCAAATGTTACGTCTCAAATCATGTCTCAAGTGTCGTTCCTAGCTTTTTGTGTAATAAATGTTTGTCAGTACTGATATAATGTCTTGTATCTGTCATTGGCAAAGCATCACTGGAGCTCATCTACTCTGCAGTGCTTTGCATCTTCCCACACAATCACATTAATTCTTAGCTGTATACAAGATATGATTTAAGCACCATGCTGCTTGTGAAGGTGCCTCATAATTAGATTCTAGTTTTGGCACATGAGACTCAAAATTGATCTTTCACAGTGAAGCAGTCTTTCTAGGTGGGATTATTTTAACAGTAATATGCAGTTGCCAATATACAGTGCAAACCTAAGCTGCTATAATACTGATCTGGCGTTCCCTGTAAGAACCATACGTGTGATGAGATTTTGGAACTGCATGTCACGACTTCCATGTTGCTGTACGTATTGAGTGGGCTTTGCATAAAACTTTTGAAGTATGTCTGGGACCATCATGACAAGTTGTGTAAAAATTTTGTGCCTGATACATCGAAATGAAACAAGAAGAAAGAAAAGGTAGATTGTCTCTCGTCAGAAATGATGCAGAATGCTGGGGGTCAACATGATGCCTATACGCTACCTCCATGATTTCACATCATCTGCCAAGCTTCTGTATAGTGTTTGTGAAGAACATTGGTGCACCAGCAGTCATGCAATTTTTACGGTATTGTTGGGAGATCATTAAAGGTTTAGCCAAGGTGAAGATGTCATAAGAAAGTAAAAATCCAACATGTGATCATAGCCATGACCTAATAATACTGACAGGGCTGTAACACATGACAACTCAGCTTGTCAGGAATAGAACCACATTAAGTGCGTGATGATGGTTTTGGGACGTTAAACCCTACATATCAATCATCAGTCTTGATCACGGTAATGATTCCCTCACTGGTGGCTTGGAAGAGTTGTGCTAGGGCTTACAGGGAGGCCAAGTGCCAAGTTCCTTTGTCGCTTTGCAAAGGTCGTTCTGTTGAAGGCTTACGTGTTGGTTAGTTGGCAGAGACGGTAGAATGAGGCCAAGAAAAAAAAAAGGAAGCATCAATGGTCTAGCTGAAAAAAAATTTGGACTACACCCCTGCTGCCAGCCATAGTAACTGCTACCAAGAACCATCTTTTTTTTCAGAGGCGTGCAAAGTTACGGAACTTCACTGGCGTGAGTGCGAATAATTCACCGTGAGTGAATAATGAAGACAGACAATTTTGAGGGCTCGTTCCCTTGTTTGACTCAATGTTGATGAATATAGCACACTATAGCCTAGCAACCCAGCAACCATAAATTCAGGTTGTAAAAACGCGCCGAGCTTCTGAAAGTGCTGGCTTGCTTCCTCTCTCCCTCTTACGTGGTTACCTCAAGAATTTTTTATGCTTCTGCATCTGAGGAGACTTCCAGTTTCTGACTGCATAAGCTGTTACTTCAAGAATTTTTTATGCTTCTGCATCTGAGTAGACTTCCAGTTTCTGACTGCATAAGCTGGTTTGACCTTAGCTCTTCGCTTATGAAGCCTACCAGGAACTGATGTGTTGAAAGGGTAGCAATGTGAGACAGCTACACCGCGGAAGTGCGGATCAGAGATGGAGATGGGGCTGGCGCTTAGCGTGAGGGGCAGTCAAGAAGAGTACGTGAGGAATGGGGATGTCCATGGCAAGTTATAAATTGGCATCATGGCTGAGGCTCATCATTGAGTGAAGCCTCATTGAGGTGAGTGGCGTATGTCTATGGGCCTGGCAGAAGAAAGAGGATGTCATGGTGGCTAGGTAGGAATATATGATTCTATGAATGTGAACGAGGTAGAATCCAATGTGCGATTATTATAGGAGGGGCGTAGCTGGATATCTTTTTGGGGAAAGGGTGGGTGGTGTTATATATGCATGAAAAATTGGAAAAGAGATTGGTGATGGGGTTGGTGTGGTAGGATAATTACGTTTGAGAGAGTGGCTTGTAGCATGGATGTTTGTCAGGAGGCTGGCGCGAAGTACGGCAGCCCTTTCGTTTTCCGGCATTCTTGTGCTAGCAGGGATCCACACAACGTCCAATGAAAAGTGAAGGGAGTGAAAGACAGGAAAAGTTGGGGGACCCTTCAGCTTCGCCTTGAGCGCCTTAGCGAAATCCGGCCCCTAGTGCACCCTTCAACCGCTAAGTGCATGCTTGTTCATATGTTTTGTTACATACGCACGCACACAGTAGATTGGACCAGCGTGCGCTATTACTGCCGAATGGGCTCGTTTCCGTCGTGACACCTGTCGAACAAAATGTGTTAAATGGACCCTGAAACACTTTTTTCAAGTAACCATGGAATGAATTCACAAGAGCTTATTGCGTCACGAATTCAACGCCGCAAAAATTTAAAAAATCCGTCACAAAGGTTTGTCGCATGCTGCATGTGCATTATCTCTTCTCTCGTCCCGACGAAAGCGCTGGAAGCTAAGCGGGGAGGTGTGGCAGGGCAAAGAAACTACCGTGCGTCGTGACCTTGAACACTTTTTTTTCTTCGAATGCGCGGCTTTGTTAGTGTGATTGCGCGCGGACAAGTAGCGGCCTCCCGCGGCTATCTCGGTTACTCGATTTTTTGATCACAGACGCACAGACTATTTTTCACTCACAACCAACGGGGCCGACGCCGGCGGCGGGTTTTCTGCGACACCAGCTCTTCTGCGACACGAGCTCTAGCGCGTTAAAATGCCACGTTCAAGCCAGGGGCACTCTTGCGTAGAATCGGTAGGCGCAGCGGCGGGGCATTGTAGAAATCCGCTGGTTGAAGGCGGAGAGGCTGGTTGAAGGCGGAGAGAAATCCGCTGGTTGAAGGCGCTGGTTGAAGGCGGAATTGTGCACGAGTGTACGACGAACACGGATCCACGAGAATTTTTCGAAACGGTGCAGTAATAGCAGAGTTAGACGCGTTTGTTTATCTAAACCACGATGACCACGCCTTTCTCTCGTCCCGGCGCTTCGCTGCGCTGGTATCCTCTCCACAAGCCGCTTTGCCCTCTCGCCAAGCGCCCCTCCCATGCCTCTCCCATTCTAACGTGGCATACGTCATCGCTGACGCGCTGCTTGAAACACCGTCTACTTCCGGTTACCGCGACTTCGTCAGTTGCATTGTAGCTGCGTGTTCGTTGGCGAACCGTGGCTGCTGTAATCGTGCCGGTATGAACCTTGCTTTGCGCGCGCGCTTTCAAAGGATTGCCAATGCGATGGACCCGTACGGCGACGCGTCATGCCCGGCACGTGTTGCACGCGCGCGGGCAACACGACGAACAACGACAAGCAGCGCGGACAGCTGCTTGCAGACTGACCGGAAGTCATAGGCCCTTGTTTGACCAATCACAGCACATTTGGCTCGGCGCGTCAGAGACGTGGTACGGCGCGTCACGCGGAGGCCCCAAAGGCCCGGAAAGAAGGAGGGATTATTTTCCGGAGTTTGTGGCGCGCCGGCGGCTCCTCGCTGCCACGTATAGAATCGTTGATCGCGACGGCTTTCTGCGCACGATGCGCGCGTGTACTTGGAATGATTAAAAAATAACGGAGGTGGTTTACGGGCCCTTTAAGGGAACATGCGCAGTAGCGTGTGCGCATTTTGTGGTGGGTTACCGGCTTTAAACCAAGAAGCCGTTATGATAATCGCATGCTACGACGCCCAATGCCATTGGGCGCTTGTACTGCAATATTTCATGCTGTACTGTGAAGCATGCACATAGGACGCGTGTGTTTGCGAAGCATGTGTTACTGTCACTGAATTTCCAAGCAGAAAAAGTTATTTTGACTGTATTCACAAGCATATTACCGTGGCCGTGTCTTTGCATCCCACGAAAACACGGGCATATGCTACGTCCTCAAACCAATTCTGCAGAAAAAAATTGTTATTGATTCGTACACCTTTCGTTATCTTATGCCAACATCTCTTGATACGGTACCATACGATACGTTTTTCGTTATCGGTATGCACAGTCTGTAGAAGGCGCGTATGCAGGACCGCAACGCACAGCCGATCACCTCTTCATGCACACATTTCATCCGAATGGCTATTCACGAGGATGTTTTTGAAGAACTTTACTTTCGACCGGACTGGCACCCCACCGAATTTGCTTGTGCAGCGCGTGATGACGAACTATCCGTATATAGACAATAGGACTTCAGCCTTTGAGTTTTTTTTTTAAGCAGTGCTTGTACGCCTATTGTCGTTATAGGAATGCAACAGTGCAACTCTGTGCGATATTGTGTACTATTTTACGCATTCTATTAAATACCGTGTTGAAACAAAATTACCGTGGCCGTGTGGTAGAACATCCGCTGGCTACGCAATTACCCGTGTTTGATCTCCAATCGGACCCAAAACGACCTGGGTTCGTTCCCCGCTCTGACCCAGGATTTTTTTATTCTGCATTTTATTTACATTTCTCAATTTTTCGGTCATGCATAAGATGATTTTTCGCTCACAAACAACGACGCCGACACCGACGCCAGCATATCTGCGAAACAAGCTCTTCGACGCTACCGAGTTAGTGTGAATTACGGAGAAATGGTGCATGAAGCCCCGCAAACTTCTGCAGTGCTGCTCTGGCTACACCACTAGGGACAGGGCTGTAACACATGAAAACTCAGCCGGTCAGGAATAGAACCACTATAAGGACGTGATGATTCTCTTGATTACGGTAATTATTTCCTCAATTGTGACGTGGAAGAGTTGTGCTTGGGCTAACAGGAGGGCCAAGTGCCAAGTTCCTTTGTCACTTTGCAAAAATTTCTCTGTTGAAGGATTACGTGTAGGTTAGTCAGCAGTGACGGTAGAATGAGGCAAAGACATAAAAGAGAAAAAAGGAAAGCGTCATTGGTTTAGCGGTTAGAATTGATGGTGTAGTGTTTACGAATTATGTTTACGACGCGACTACGTTGAACCCACTCACTGCAGAAGCACAGGGCGACTTCACTGCAATGCGAAACGCGTTCGCGCGCATTTGCATTAGACAAGTGTGGCTTCACCTCAAGGCGAGAATTGCTTCCAAGAAGCCACATCTACAGGCTAACTTGACACGTAATTTGCGCTCTCCGTA